AGTGATGATATCATTTCCACAAGATAAGATGGACGAATAAGGTATTTGATCAGGTGGAGAGGTAAACCTGAGTCAGAGGATACTTGGTTGGATCACGATGAGCTATAGCAGATTAACCCCGACGCACTAGAGATTTATAAGAACACCCGGGATGCTTACTCAATGGAGTCGAGCTTCTTCCCACCCCGGAGAATGATGGGGACATCAAATCATGGAAAGTATATCAAAAACATGGCCGACGATCTACGGCCATGATCACGCTGATCTATTTTTGAGTCATCATATGTATTTATTTTATTTACGTCCTTTATGTATTTATTTTATTAGCATTTCGCGTTTTACCCTTAAGGGGTTTTGTCATCTATAAGCCTTAGGGGCAATGTCGTCTTTTAGTTCTCTTTCATTGTATGAGGCTATATATAAGTCACTTATGTTTCTTTTGTAGTTAATAAATGAATGATAATGAAACTTTTTGCAACTTTGTGTTTTTGTGAGAGCTCGAGAACTTTGGAGAGAAATCCCTAGGAGAGGGAAACGGATCACCCACCAACCTTGGAAGTGTCCGGGTTCATGGCTATTTTCTTCCCTATTCTTTCTTCTCTTCCTCCCTGTCTTCCCTTCCACCATACGGCCAAGCCACCTATCCCAAAACCGCCGGCTACCTCAGGGCCTTCCCACTGACGGCCAACCATAAACCCCATCCCTTCCCCTTTGACTAACACCCCATCCTCCCCATCCCCTCACCACCCAAATTCCCCCCAAACCCTAGCCTAGCCACCGGCCTATCCCCTTCCCCTTTGCCTCCAAAATTTCAAAACCCCTCATCATTACTTTCCTTTCCTACATAATCTCTTTTGGGAAAGTTTAATTTCAATTATTCAATCAAATTTGAATTTTGAAATATTTCATAAAATAGAATCCTATTTTAGGAAAGTCCTTCAAATCAAATCCAATTCAATTTTGAATTAGATTGGAATTAAATTCTCCTTCTTAATTTGGGGTCTCAATTAAACAAGTCTTAAATCCCTTTCCTAAACCCTCCCCACTTCCTCATACCGCCAGCCCCCTCTCCCTTGCTCTCTCTAGGCCGAAACCTCCCCCCCCCCTCTCCAAATTTCCCTTTAAATCATTTCCAAATTTAGATGATTAATTAGGGAAACAATTACCTAATTTCAGCTAATTTCCCTCCACCCTTTAAAATCTGAGTTTATTTCCCCACCTCCCTCTTTAACCTAGCCGGCCTTCCCCTAACCCTCACACCTCTAAAATTTGAACCTAAACTTTTCCAAGGCCCCTACCTTGGCAGGTCACCTTCTCACCCCTCCTACTTGGATAGTTGGATTCCTTGGAAAAACTTCTTTCTCTCAAGGGGAATTCACAAGGACAGCAAAGGGCATCTTCTACAACACTACGTATCCTATGCATGGCCGATGCTGAACTCGACTCCGGCTTTGTCTACAACGATCAAGTCTTTGTCGACATTCTCGGATCACCTTTCTTCGATGTTAATCCGGAGGTAGATAATTCCATCGAGGAATACTTGGAGCGAATCATATTCACCCTTTCGAACAACTTTCCACCGTTCAATGGCAAATCACCGCCATGCCAAGACAAGGGTGAACTTTTTTCCCTCTTCAATTTCCTTCCTAATCTTCTTCGATTGTAGGTTGTGAATCAAGCATAAGTAATCATGCAAAGCTATCTGCCAAAGCTTAATAAACGTAGGGAATGAGTGATGGGTTTCTATGCATCTAATCTCATTGTTAATCTAGAGATGTTATTGAAAATCCTCTATATTTGCTTATGTTGAAGTTTCTAATTGTTTTGTAATCCAAACTATTATTTTGTGCCTTGGCCTAAACTAAGGCACGCCTCTCTTGTTTTCTATTTTCGTTAAGTGGCTAATGTTTTAATTTTTATTGCTTTTACTAGAAAGCATGCAAATTCTTATATCAATCATTTAAAGCATACATAGTCCTACATCAATGATCCCATGGATGGTCTCTATTACTATTCAATGAATAGTTGCATGCAAGAACTTGGAGACAACTTCCCAATCGTTTGAAATCTTTTTAATCATGATCAATGGTTGTGATTAAGCCTTATGATTTTAAACTTCAACAATGCTTTTTTTTCATTTTATCTCCAAATCATATGAATTTATCTCCAAAAGTTTCTAAAATTATAAGAACCTTAAAAAAAAGTAATATTATTTTCATTATCCCAATGGATTTAAAGAAATTTTGTAACTCTTAAATCATTCATAAATTGATCTTAATTTCAAAAAATAATAAAAATAATTTTGGGAGTTTCAGAGTCTAATCGACTTTTGACTAACATTTAGTCCCATATGAAAATGTATGAATCATATTGATTCATTTAAAAGCCATATTTTAGTATTTTAAATTATTATTAATTTTTTGAAATACTTTTTAAAAAATGTGCGAAGCATTTTTGGTGTATTTAGATCATTCCTCGTGACTTCTCCTAGTTAACCCTGAGAGTTTTAGAGATCTATCTTAATTGGCTTTATCTAACCCTTAAGTTAGTGGTTCAACTTACAAAAGTCTGGTAGACCCTAAGTCACCCAATGGATCTTCTATCCCTGTCTTTGACCCATCCTAACTAACCTTATTTGGTTTAATAATATGTATGGTTTGCTTTAATTAATCTTAATTAGGCTAGTGTTTTGATCTTAGTTCTTAGTAGACTTTAGTGCTTGAACTCTTTAAGTCTTGAAACTAATCCAAGTCCTAGTTGAGCCTGGATGATCAGTAGTCTACCCTTGCTTATAATTTGACTACTGATTTTCCTTAGATAGCTTAGATGATCATAAGTCATTTAATGACCTTCATATGCCTAATCCTAACCTAACTTAGTTGACCCAAAGTTGACTAGTGACTAGACCTGGATTGTTCAAGTTGATCCTAGGTTTTCTGATTGTGAATTGTGATTAAGCAATCTCTCTTATTTTACTCTAGCTGAGCTTAGATTGACTAGTGGCTTGCCCTAAGTAGTCATAGATGACCCTAATGTCTTTTATAGCTTTGATTAATCCTTTTGGGTACTATGTTATGCATCCCACCCTAAGGTGAAATCTCTACATCATTTAGACCCTAAGAACTTATGATAGCAATGTTCATATCAAGCTTTCTTACCCTCTTCGTGATTTCAAGTTATAAGTCTCATCATGATTATTTGCATCAAAATTAGGTATAGGGTCATATCCTAAAGAATGCCAAGTTCATATTATAGATCCAGGTTTGAAGCTAACATCCTTTATTGCTATAACTTAAGTATTCACTCTAAGCAGTTCACCAAAGGTGGAGTCATCACTACTCAAAAATAATAAGCCTCTATTCTAATAATATGATCAACATTAATGTATTTTTAATCAGTTGATTCTCTAAAAATATAAAGCCCAAATAGAAATATGGCTTTTGGGCATTTTGAGTATCTCAATGTCATACACCAGTAACTTACACTCCATTGAACTCCACTCTCATATTTTCCTAGTTTGATCCATTCCTACATTAGCATTCTAAAAGCTATATCTGTTTATACATAGCTTTGATATTCTACAACACAATCATGACTTTAATCAGGAGTTTTTTTTAGAGTTTAACCAATCTAGAATGTAATTAACCAAATAGGTTTACTTCTATGAGAACTAGAACTCAAAACTAAATCAACCTTGTCTAGCTTTTTTATGCTAGATGGAGGAAATCTTTTTAATATATATATATATATATATATATATATATACAGAGAGAGAGAGAGAGAGAGAGTGATTTTTCTTTTATCTTTTAAGACAGTACAACTCCCTATCCATGAAGTAATCAAAATAAATTCTATATAATCATTTGCATTCCATTTAACCAATCAAGAGAGTTTGTTTCCATGTCATGAGCTGGTATATTTCTCTTTATTCCTTGAGCTACATCATCCAAATGGACCAAAACCAAAGGGCCTCATGAGAATCATAAAAAATCAAAAAAAGTTGCATCATAATTTTGAAATTATAAGTCTTATATTCATTGTTGAATTTCTAAGGGGGATTTGAACTCTTCTTCACTAGGATAAACTAGCAAAAGAAAAACCGTATAAATGAACCATGAACATTTAAAAGATCAAATTTCTTAAAAGCTAAGCATATCTTGAAGCAATGACTTCAAGTTAAATAGTTAAATTCATCAAAACTAGAAATTCTATGCTACTAACTTTATGGCTCAGTTTAGTCTGAAGGAATATAAAGAGAGGTAATAATAAAGGAAATTATTAATAAAAAAAGGAATATAAAGAGAGGAAATTAAAAGAAAATATAAATAAAAATGTTAAAAGGAACTTAAAGAGAGAAAAAGAAAAGAAAATAGAAATAAAAAAGTTAAAGGAATTAAGATGAAATTAGTTTCACCCATTTTATTGGCTGAGGAAAAAATAAATTAAATTTCTTTTTTTAATTTCTTTCATTGTTAATTTTGGATTTTTTTTATTTTTGGCATGTGAGCCATAACCATGACACCATATTTTTTCTTCATATATTTCACAAATGTGGATTAAGACATTGTCGACAAAAAAAATTGAATTATTTGTATTTCCAAGGTAATTCCAATCACCTCTTTATTATATTGAAACAAAACAACCAAAATAAAATGCATTTGCATTTCCTTCAATTCTTCCAAACCAAACACAGCCTATAAGAATTTATTTTGCAGAAGCATGAGGAAAGGTTGATCTAAACAACAAGATGTACAAGAATAACACTTTTAAAATCCCAAGAACACTCTAAAAATTTAAAACAAAAGCACATCAGTGCCACGAGAAATTATTCGGTGCGGAATCCAGACGTTGCTTTGCGTTCGGACGCTAATAAAATTGTGACCCGTGGATAGCTATGTGGCTATTGCTGACATAGATTGCCCTCGTGGAACGCCAACGTGGCTTCAACATTTAAACATCGATAAAGATAAAAAGTGAAAATGGTAGAAAAATTCCACATTTCAAGCAGCTTTTTGGTTTTCAACATCCGACATTCGTTCTCTGAAGCGACACTCCTCCGAAGCTCTTGTATTCTCTTCTTGCAATTTCAGGCATTTACTCAATTGCTTCCAAATGGTGTCACCTGTAAAAAGAAATGTAAGTTGCATGTTTTCTGCTCAAGTTATGCATGATTTATGCTCATATTATATGTATTTTATGTTCATGCTATGTGTTTCTTTTATGAAATTTTTTAATATATTTAATATTTCATAAATGCATAATTGTTTGATGCTACTTATGGCCCATCGTATTTTCTCTATATTTAGGGTTTATGCTGAAACCTAAGCTCTAAAAAACTTTTAACAATTAAACTATTTGAATCTTAGAAACAATAAAAAATTAAATAGATAAATGTTTTATGCATAGGTTCTGAGTAGTTTATGCTTAGGTTGTGCATAAGCACTGTGAATGTTGTACGTAGGCAAAAGCATATGTTGTGTGTATGTTGTGCATGTGTTATGCTTTTTTTTATTACTATCCTTTTTACTTATTTTATATATTTTTTAACCTTAATTTTTCATATCTATATTCGTCACATTACTTATCGATGCCATATTTTGATGTTTCGAACAATCTGTGGCATTCCTCAGCAAATTGCTCTTGAAATTGTGGACAACTTGAAGAGATTAAATATCATACAATAGAAATATCTTGCCTTATCTTAGCACTTACTAGAGTTACATCATTAAAAATTAAGGCAGACATACTGCAATTGAACAAGCATAGCCCCAGAGACTATGTTAAGAACGTTTATTATGTATTTATGTTTATATTTTATTATTTCGACTTAATAACTTTAAAATCCCTCGGTTGCTTCATAGAATAGCATATAATGTAGATGAATTTTTTTCAATAAACTGAGCAAGGTCGATTATGGAATGTTTAGTTGAAAATTTTAGCAAAGTCTCCACCAAGATTTTAAATAAGAAGCAGTAAGTTACATCAACGATTTTGTGCCTCTGCTAATTGTGAGTGTTAAAATCATTCTAATTTTTATTTATTTTTTTTTAATCTATTTGCTAAAATTTGCTTTAATCTTTTGCAAATTTGGTTCATCCATGAGCACACTTCTATTCATGCTCCTATGGACACTGACAAAAGGCCGATGATATTGGATATATTATTGAGACAGTCACTAATTTATTTGTTAAATTAAAGAAAAGACATAAATCTTGCAGCAAATTTCAATTAATGCATTTATAAAGAATAAGAATTTGCTAACATACAAATTTTTTACAGATTTTTTATGTCCTCAAGGGAGTTACTCAGGATGAAATTAATATGCTTAGCATTAAGAAATTTCCATCACACAGACCTTTAACCCATCATGAAATAAGTGAATTACACCCCTCCCACATACCTCATTCTCCCATTCAATCCCCCCATCATGCCCTACAAGCCCCCCTCTAATATCCCAACAAACCCCCCACAAATCTCCTCATCAAACCCCCCAACAATATCCCCATCATACCCCCCCTCCTCCCCAACAAGCCCCCCACCAATCTCCTCAACAATTACATCTTATATTTTCTGCTCAAGCACTAGATTTCTCCAAGAAAAATAATCAAATCCTGTTAGGATACCTGCACAGAACTCTTTCTTGAATTTGAAGGTAAGCTGAGTATGAAGTTTGAACAACTAGCTAAAAAAGTACAAGTTATTGATGACAAGCTCAATCAGTACATTGCTTACAACATATTTTATCATGAGAAACATTCTGATACCTCCTCATCTTGTCATAAGAAACAGAAACATTCCCAACCCCAAAGAAATCAGATATCCCTCCCCCAAAAAAGTTAGAAATCCCAACCATAGACAAACCTGATAACATCCATTCCCCAAAAAAATAAGATATCACAACCACAAGCAAACCTGATATCATCATTGACCCAAGAAAATAAGACATCCTAAATGAGCCAGAAGATAATATCATTGTTTACAATTGCGCAATAAGAGGCCCGCCTCAAGGCGCGCCTCTGCGTAATTCTTCCCCAAATAGCCTCATTGCTTAAGTAGTTTCGGGTATGGGTGAGGCTTACGCCTCGTGGATCCTAAGGCGCGCCTCAGAGGCTTAATTGTGCAATTTTGGGTGAGGCTTACGCCTCATGGAGCCAGGTCCCACACACTTAAGTTCTTTAAAAAAAAAGTCATTTCATCCCTTTCTTCTTTCTGCCTACCCGAACTGAACGGAAGAGCTCCACATGCCGCAGTCCGCACGCCCTAGCTTCCCTCGTCCGACCTTCCCGCCGGTACCGCCTCACGCCAGAGAGCAACTTGAGTCCGACCGCCCTCTACGACACCTTTACTATGGGTTTTAGGTATTTTTTTAATTCAATGTTTGATTTTTCAAGTTATAAAAAATCTAAGGTTTAACATTTTTTGAGATTTTTGGTTTGATTTTGCATTTGTGTATTAGGAAACATAGTTAGGGGAAAGGAAAAGTCAAATACGTCATTGCAGAGGGACTCTTCTTGGAAGTATATTATACAGGTTGATGTAGTCGACGGCAAGAAGACATACGTGTATTTGAAATGCAATTTTTGTGATGAGACATAATTGAATTTTAGATGTTCTTTCTTATTTGTACTTTGGGAGTTTTGACTTTTGATAGATTTCAAGTCGTGATTTTGTACTTTGAATTATGCTATGAGATGCATATATTGCATCTATTTTATTATTTTCCACTAAGTTCACTTCTCATTTAGATGTTTTTAGTGTACCATAACCTCTTACTGTTATTTACCTGCTAGAATACTTAAATTATCATTTACACAATTCTTCGTCCGTGAGGCTTACGCCTCGCACCACTTCGAGGCTTACGCCTCGCCTCACGGACGAAAAATGCCTTAAGGCTTATTTACGCAATTTTAAACCTTGGATAATACTATAAAATTTTATAGGAAACATAAATCAAATATCCTTATGAAGAAACATATATCACATATTCTTGTCCCGGCCCAAAATAAACCAATCCCAACTCAAATTCAACCAATCTTATCCCAAAATTAACCGATCCCACTCCAAAATGAGTCAATCATATCATAGCCCAAAATAAACAAATATCAGCCCAAATTCAACCAATATCATCCCAAAAAGGAACCAATCACACTCCAAAATGAACCAATCATAGCTCAAAATGAACCAATCCCAGTCAATGAAATTGTAATAACTCCTAAAAATGTAAATCCAATAATGAATTACGAAGGCATTGAGAAGTTGAGTTATGAGAAGAGAAATTTTATATATGAATGCTTCAAGAACTTCAATCGAAGGTAAAAATTGTAACTGTTATGAACTAATAATTTTTTTAATTATTCGTGTGTTATGCGTATGTTATTCTTATGGTCTGCATATGTTAAGCGTATATTATGCATATTTTATGCGTATTTTATGTGTATTATATGTATATTTTATGTGTATATTATGTTTGATTGCTTCTTAATTTATGCGTTTTTTTTTTTCGCAGGGAAGATACAGTCTTCGAATGTGGGAACATTATTATTTCTAGAGCTGACATTGATGAATTAATAACAGATTGTTATTTTTTCAATGTTCATGTAGATGTTTTCGTCCTTTTGTTAAATGGAAGGCTAAACTTATGCCTAACAAGTACTATAACTTTCTATATATCTCGCCAGTGTATTAGGTTACTATTTAATTTTAACACTAGTTATAATATTTATAGTTGCTTTAATTTTCATTTCTTATATTTACTACTTACAGAATTATAAAGGAAGTGACTCATTGTCGAAATTGTATATCGACCATATAATCGATGTTGCTATTAATTCATGCAACATTTTACTCAAGAAAAATTTGCTGACCAAAAATATCACAAATTCTTCGAAACATCAAAATATAGCATCAATAGGTAATATGACGAACATAAATCTAAAAAATCAAGTTTATAAAAAATGCACAACATACACATAACACACGCACAACATACACACAGCATACGTTTTTGCCTATGATTATCATACGTAATGCTTATGCACAATCTAAGCACAAACTACTCAGAACATACGCATAAAATATTTATATATTTACACTTTTATTGTTTCTAAGATCCAAAAAGTTTAATTATTAAAAGTTTGTTAAGGTTTAGGTTTCGGCAAAAACCCTAAATATAGATAAAATACGATGGGTCATAAATAGCATCAAATATTTATGCAGTTATAAAATATTAAATATACTAAAAAATTTTGAGAATTAAACGTATAGCATGAACATAAAATATACATAGCATGAGCATAAAACACACATAGCATGAACATAAAACACGCAAGCGACTTATCTTTCTTTTTGCAGGTGACGTCATCTGAGAAGGAACTGAGTGAATGCCTGAAATTGCAATAAGAGAATGTAGAAGCTTCGGAGGAGTTTCGTTTTGGAGAACGAACGTTGGATGTTGAAAACCGAAAAGCCGCTTGAAATGTGGATTTTTTCAGCAATTTTTAATTTTTACCTTTATTGGGGTTTAAGTGTTAAAGTCACATCGGCATTCCACAAGGGCAATCCACGTCAGCAATTACCATATAGGCTATCCACGGGTCACAATTTTATTGGCGTCCGGATTCCCCGTTGAATAATTTCTCCAGTGCCACAGACTAAATGATGAAAGGCAATTCAATAGCACTACACATATCAGCCAAAAAACTACACAAGGTTAAAATCCATCATCGAAACTTTAGCCACAGCAGGACAAAAAAAGCCGACCAAAAAAAGTAGAAATAAACGCAAATAATAACAACCTGGACCACAAACTACATGATCTACGTATAGAAAGAAACATAACCACAAGAAAGAACCAAAATGAAAACGACCAACTCACATCTGGAGAGTGGAAGAGATATCCGATAAATGTTGCTGTTCATTGAATCCAAAACCAACAGCTGGCCACCCGGCAGTACCTCCACCGAGAAAGGCTCGATCCCAAGCTTGCTACCATCGAATACGGTCTCTACCGTATACCCATTCTCAAACTTCATCATTGGGCGGCCGGATATTACTACAAAACACTGATCAGATCAAAACCCCACTATAACCCCCAAAACAGCAAAAAAACATAAGAAATTTATACCAGTTTTTTTAGTAGAAGCCATCGACCATAGCAGCTTGAAGATGGCCGAGAGACCATTGGAAATAAACCCACTCACCAACTCTGCCAGAAATAGCGAGATTAAACAGGGAAATGAGAGGGAACAAAAGTAAGGAGATGAAAAGGAACTCACTTGCTGGAGATGCAGCTGAAACCAAGCTAAATCCACTTAGCAGGAGCACCAGGACTAGTAGAGCAGAAACCCCTTTCTTCCGTTCGTCCATTTCCATAAACACCAGAGAGAGAAGAAGAAAGCGAGCTTATAATATGGCCGATGAGGGAGAATGCGAGCAACCCATCTTGTAATCGCCGTCTTCGTACGGGAAAAATCGAAAAAAAACGATGCTTTTACACGCTTTTGTGCAGAGTAAAGCTGGTAGAACGGACAGCAGAGTCCCACGCCAGCACCGCCACCCTTCCCTTTGCACACTCGCAGATTCTGTAAGCGAAAAATCGAATCTTCATCTTAAAGTCTTAAAGCTCGCGGGGTTTATGAGGTTTAAGGCTAAGAAACAGTTTTAAAGGAGTAGCAGAGCTATTAACAAGAGACGGATTAGGTGGAGAGGATCACCTCTGGTTAGTAATAAATTCAAAATTCAATCCAATCTGTCATATAGCCTTCGTTTGCTGGGTTTGGATGTATTGTAATTTTTTTTTAATGATATAAATTAAATCCTATTTGATAATTATTTAAAAAAATAAAATAAATTTTGATTTGAACTGAAAAGAATGAAGCAAAGTTAAAAATAAATAAATAAAGATTTTATTGTTGTTTTTAGTTTTATTACTTATCAAATTAAATTAAATAAATTGTTAAATTTTTGTAAATCTGATTCGTTACAAATGAAATGATAAATTTGGCCTTTACAGATTATAAAATTTATATGTATTTATATATCTAATATTTAATTTTTTATATATATTTACATGATATTTAAAATTTAAAATTACATCAAAAATGTTATTAATTCATTTGAAATGAACGCATTTTTTAACACAGATTTTAACTTGATTAAAATATTAAAGTGATATATAAATAAATATAAAAAAAATTAGATGTTAGATAATTATGATATGCATGTAAATCTCAATTCAAGATAATATTATGCTATTGTAGTTAAAAATGTTATTTAACCCACCGAGGCTTAGGGTGGTTGGTGGGCGAGCACGATTAGGAACCCCCCATCTCGGGTTTGAATCCCCTCTACTACAGTCTTGCCTCTTCAGTGGGGCAAAGCAAGTGTGGGCTCGATACCGGTTGGTGGCCTCGCTAGGTTCTGACGATGAATTAGTTACGCCACAGCACTCTCTTTAGAGTGACGGCGAGTAGTACCCCGTTCCCAAAAAAGTGCTATTTGAAAGAATAACCTTATACAACAAATAATCATAATTTCTAGCGTGAGCAATTTAACAACATTTATGCACAATGAATTCAAATATAACTAAAGACTTCTTTGGCATCAATATTAATTTTAGTCTTTTATTGAATATTTTTATTTATTTATTATGTTACTTTTTTCATTTTTTTATTAATTTATTTATTTAAAAAAGCACCCGGTCAACCGAACAAAATAAAAGCTCTTTTGTCTGAGCTCTCTCTATTAATTTTTTATGTGAATGGGCTTCGATCGAATTTATAAATTTATTTGGTGGGTGGTTCTCTTTGGATATATTCGCCCACTTCACCTTTCATTCCCATTTTGTATGGCGATATATCTAAGGGATCTTTTTTTGGAATGGCTTTGGTTATTAGTCCACTTAACATACTTTATGTATTGTCCCTTTCATTGGTTGCATGCATTTGAGCTGTCAGCTATGGACCTATGGAATTGGCTGATTGATTATTATAAAAAATTAAAAATATATATATTATCTTTTTTTTTAGAGGTTACAACTTATGAGACTTTGAAATATTCTACTTTAAATAGTTAAATAGTCTAAAGCGATATTTATTGAGTGAGAGTAAATAAGTGGTAGAAGAAAGAGATATTAACATCTTAATTTTGTAGTAAATTTAGCATGCACATACAAATAGAATAGATATTGCTACAGTAAAATGAAAATATACGAGAAAAAATCACGGGATATGACTTAAATGAAATGATTTCACTAATATTTGTCATTAGTCACAAATGATATCATTCCTTACGTTGTCATTAGTCACAACATAACAGATTATTTCATGGTGTGGATTAGAAGGGCTATGTGGTATGAAAGATTGTCTTCAAAATATCATTTGTTGTTTGTTTGTTCTTTCTTCTTTGAGGAATGGAGAGCATAGACAAAAAATGAAAGGATGAGAGAACACATGAGTTTACTGGATTTCACACACTTCTATGCAACACAAAAAATGAAAGAACTTATATTCAAACAATTGTACTTTGTGTACATTTCATATATTGAATTTCTAAGATTGTGCGCACATGCATACAATACCAAGGATGACAGTACTTGCCCTAAAATATATAGATTTTTATAACCTTGAAATTATATTTATAAGACTATATGCACCTATATCCAACTCATATTGAGTATGCTCAATGTTGGCACCATTTTTTAATGTATTCATAATATGTAGGCTCTTTATATATCATTTGTTCTTTGTAGGTTTGTCTAGAAGATGCCACATTACATATATACATTTGGTTCTTCTATTTCTAAACACACCCACTAAGAACCTTACGGGGCTTATGATCACTAGATCAATGTTCTTGCATTGACTTGACTGCATCTCCTTGGTTCACTTAGTCTCAAGCACATACATCAGGGCTTTTTGCTAATCTCATTTGGTAGAACAGTTTTAGTCATTCTCCTACTGAAAGACTTAGGTCTCTTTTCATATATTGGATACATCGTCTTGAGTAATCTTGATAAATTTATGACTCAAAGATAAAAAATCATATAGTGTCGCGTTGTTGCATGATAGAGTACTGATGTGGAATTTCAAACTCGGGTTGGAGACAGAGAGTGGAGTGTTGTGACGCTCCATCTCTAGTGATGTGGCGTTGCAAGTTAGGTCGAATAGATTTTCTTCCTTCTTCTTCTTAGTTCACTTCAAGGGTTATGTCATTTGGATGTTATCAAGAGTGTCACTTATGTGTTTTGAGAAGATAAGTGTGTGTGAAGTGAAGTGATACAAAGAGAGAGTTTGAGAACAGAGATTTATACAATTTCTCTCAATTTTCATAGTGGATTTTTTTGGTGTAGTGCGGCCCTATGGTTTTTCCCAATTTTTTTGGATTTTTTCACTTTAAATCATGTCGTTCTTTCTTCTTCGTTGTTTTTATTATTCTTGTTTATTTTAATTACTTTATTTTACTTCCCAACATTCTACACGTATATAGTGAAATTTACATCAAGCACTTACATTATTTATAGCTCTCTTTTTAACATAATCATTCTTATCATCGCTAAAGAAATTATATATCAGAATGTTAAAGCTTATAATAGTAAGGTTAGGTGTAGAAGATAAAGCAATAGTAAGACATGATTTTATCTTAAGGTTTTTTCATACACCTTTCATCCTATGTACATTTATTTATATAAGTAAAAAAAAGGTTGTGTAAAGATGATCAGAGATAGTGGGTTTGCTTTACAAGTGTTGGGTTTAGATGCCTTAGTCATGGGTTTAGATGCATTAGTATGTTTTAAGCTAACAATGATGATTTGTATTTCTGGAATGTTGTTGCTCCACTTCGTCTAAATTGCAGATGTCGTTATTACCCACTCGTAAACTGATGGTTCCTGTTGAATTATCATTTTGATTTAGAGATGTTGAAACATGGATGCAGAAAGTGATTTGGTGAGAATGTCGATGATCTGGACTTGAGCGCTAATAGGAATTACTCTGGTGGTTTGAGAGTTGATGTGATCACTTATGAAATGGTAATTGATTTCAATATGTTTTGTTCTATCGTGGAAAAATAGATTGTTAGCTAGTTCAATAGCTGAAATGTTATCACATTGCATGTCAGTTGGAGCAGAAAGTGAAATTTTGAAGTCATATAGCAAAAGACGAAGTCGGGTGGCGTCGACAGTGGCAATTGCAAGTGCCTTGTATTCAGCCTCTTTTAATGAACATGCTACAGTTTGTTGCTTTCTCAATTGCCATGAGATGAGATTTGAACCAAGATATGTGCAATACCTGGAGTGTTTGGTGGTTGGATCTGTTGCCCAGTTGGCATCAAAGAATGTCGTGAGGTGAAGCAGATCTTTTTGAAGGTGGAGACCAAAGTTTATCATTCTTTTGATGTAGCACAAAAGCCTTTTTAGTAGTTGAGAGTGCTCAAGAAGGGGTGTTTGCATGTGCTGACTCAGTTGATTGACAGAGAAGTTGATATCAAGTCTTGTAATAGTGAGATATTAGAGTGAACCAATTAGGTGGTGGTAGAGAAAAAGGTTTGTTGCAGTTTGGTTTGGAGGGAAGATTCAAGGTGATTTGGTAGATAACGGGTTTGTGAGTGGCTTACATTGTGCATTCCTTCATTGAGAAGAATTAAGGTGGCATATGAACATTGATTGAGTAAGATGTACTAGTGATGTTTAGTGATTTGTATGCCAAGAAAATTGGAAGGAGTGCCCAGGTTTTTGATAGAGAATTTGCTGGTGAGAGTTTGGAAAAGTTAAGGAATGGCCATGGGTGTGTTGCTTGTGATAAGAATGTTGCTGTTAACGTAGATGAAAAGATATATTTGAATGTGGTTATGATTGTATATGAGAAGTTAGGGATCGACCTTGCTTTGATGGAAACCAGTAGAGAGAAGATATGTGGAGAATGAGTTGAATCATAAGAGTGATGATTGTTTGAGATCGTAGATTGATTTTTGAAGAAGAAAAACATGATTGGGGAATTAAGTATCGTGAAAACCACGAGGATGTTCCATATATGTGATTTTGATTTGAGATCCATGAAGGAAGGTATTGGCTGCATCTATTTGTTGGATGGGCCATTATTTATTAAGGGTTATGGTAAGAAGCATACAAATTAATGGGAGTTTGACAACAGGACTAATAGTGTTCAAATAGTCCAACTCGTATTCTTGATAGTGACATTGGGCTACAAGTCATCCTTTAAACCTAGCTATAGTACCGTTTGCATGAAATTTGATACAATATGTCCATCAACATCCCAAGATGGTGTGGTTTGTAAGAGGTGGTGTGACTTGACACATACTTTGCTATTGAAGAGCTAGGAATTCATCTGCCATTGCTTTACGCCAATAGAGATGTTCGTTGGCTTAAGTGAAGGATGTGGGATCAAGTGGTGAAGAGGTATGGTGGAGTAAGTTCATGATAACTTTGAGTTTTATGTGACCTCTTTGGGAGTGAGTGACCATTGGATGATGAGGAGTGATGTGGAACAGTTATTTAGTGGTAGGGAGGATTGTAAGAGTAGTATATGGCAATGTGGAGCGGTGGGATGGTGGATAGGCTTGTAGTGGTAAGGTGAGGGGCCTAAGAGAAATAGGTGGATTTGTATATGGGAATATTTGATTTGAGGAGGTGGAGGGATTACTTCGTGTAGATTGGATGTAAGAGATTGGGAGGAGTAATGTAGATTGGTGGGGTGACATTGGAGGTGGTTGGGTAGTGGATGTTATTAGAGAGTTGTCGGTGAATGTGGATTCATCGAATCAGACATGCCAAAATATGATGATTTTACTGGTGGATGGAATTAGACATTTGTAGTCATTGTATGTATTGGAGTAACCTAGAAAGATACACACAGTAGCTCAAGGAACTAGTTTGTGAATAAGGTGGTAGCCAGGGATAACATGCACATCCAAATATTTTGAGATGATCATATGTTGGTTTTTGTTTAAATGAGGGATTTCTTTCGTATGATTGGTGATGGCATGTGGTTAATGAGGTAGGTTGCAGTTAGTAGAGCTTCAGTCCATAATTGAAAGGGCGGTGTGGTAGCATGGAGAATAGTTCTAGTGGTTTCGATTAGTTGTCGATGTTTGCATTATGTGACATTGTTTTGTTCGGGAGTGTAGGGGCAACTGATTTGTTATTTTATATCGTGAGTTTGAAGAAGGTTTTAAAATAATGATTGGCGTATTCTATTCCTCCAACAGTTTGAAAGATTTTTATTCTGGATGAAATTTGATTTTCAATTATGTATTTGAATGCGACAAAGTGGTATAAAACTTCCATTTTAGAGTGCATGGGAAAAACCCATGTGAATCTTGATTTATCATTCACAAATATAACTTCATAAAGGTAACCTTGCATATAAGCAATAGGAAATTGGTCCCAAACATCTGAGTGAATTAATTCTAAAGATTTGTACATATGATTTATAGACTTAGAGAAATGTAGTTTGTGGCCTTTTGAGATCATACATGAGGAACATAGGGACGCAGGAACATAAATATTTAAATGTTTGTTGTGCTTCGACATTGTTGAGAAAGTTTGTGGATGAGGATGGCTGAGATGATGATGCCAATGCAGATTGAAAGAAATGGAGGCAAGCATGGTTGTAGATTTTGGAAAGTTGTTGATTGGATAAAGACCATCACGGGAGTTCCTTGGAGGAGAAGTTTGTTTGTCTTCAAGTCCTTTAGATAAAATCCTTTAAGAGTGAAGGAGATAGATAAAATTCATTATGTTTGGTGGGGCGTGAAATGGATAGAAGATTATGAGATAGATAGGGGGCTTGTAAGATGGAGGGTAGAGTGAGCTTACTTGATGGTGTTGGTAGGATACATTTTCTAGTATCGGGAGCGAGATGTCATTGCCCGCGGCGATGTGGTCAGGTCCATTATACGGCGTGGATCGATGAGGTTGTCGAAATGAGGGTGAGATGTGAGGAAGCACGAGAGTCGAGGTACCAATTTGTATTTGGCATTGAAGAAGCCACAAGTGCAGTTTGATTTGGAGGTGTATAGTTGGGGTTTATTGGTACCAGTAGGTAGTGGCGGTGTGTCTGCATTATCCATAGATTTGACAAATGGTGGAAGGGAGATTTGATAATTTGGGTTGTTAAGTGGGTGAGCTGTGTGGGGGTTGAATTTGATTGTAACCTCGTTCACAATAGCCTCATCCTCTAGAGACGTAGTGAGGATAGTGTGAATCAGAGATTCGTGGGTATTTGTTTTATTCCACTAAGATTTTGATTTCCTCCCTGATGAGCATGGATTAGAGATAGAGCTTATATGGATTGAGGTTTGGAAGTCTTGGTATTGAGGAGGTAAACCATTAAGTGTGTACATAATGATGTCTTCGGGATCGATTGAGGATCCTATGGATGCAATATTGTCGACAAGGGTTTTGATGTCTGTGAGATATTGAGACATCTAGGGTGTTGACATGGATATGCTGTGAAGTTTATTCATTAGCTAGATAACTCTAGAGCATTTGGAAGCTTGAAGCCTTCATTTAATCGTCACCCAGATTTCCTTGCTTAAATCCAACTGGAGGACATATGGTAGAATGGCGGCTGTTATGCTAGAATAGATGGTGATGGCTAGGTTCTGATCTATCAACATCCAAGTGTTGTATGATGGGTTGGGTTTTGAGTGGTCGGATGGTCCGATGTGTAGGCAAGGCGGAGGCGGAAGAATTTCGTCCAAAAATTGAACGAACCCATTAGCTCAAAAGAGTTTGAGGATCCGTGAATGCCAAATTGGGTAGTTGTCATAGAAAGTTGCAGTGGAATGAGATGCTTTATGTTGGATATGAGGAGGGTATTTGGGTTTCGGGTTTTATGTGGCCTGCGACCTGATACAACATAATGTTAAAGTTTAGAATAGTAAGGCTAGGTGTAGAAGATAAAGCAACAGTAAGACATGTTTTTGTCGTAAGGTTTTACATACACCTTTCGTCCTGTGTACATTTGATTATATAAGTAAGAGAAAGATTGCCTATGTGTAAAGATGATCAGAGATAGTGGGTTTGCTTAACACGTGTAGGATTTATATGCCTTAGTCTGTTTTAAGCTAACGATGCCTTAGTCCGTTATTAACCACTTCATTTGTTTGAATCTAAATTTGTTAACTTCGGTGTAATGAAATATAATCTAGCTAGTGTACTTGAATAAATTATTTCACAGTGAATTTAATATTTACATAACTCATCATTATCTTAACTTGATACCATATATCTAAGTAATCTTGTGTGGTGTATTGCCTTCATATAGTTTTGCAGCTAAATTCATCTAGTCTTACTTTGTATAATTGTGTGCAATTTAAATTAATGAATTACAAAATATGTTCAAAGTGTCCATTAACACTGAATTTCACCCTCCAAAAAAGTACATATATTATACATATCATAACAAGCCAAATACTAGTTGCATTCGGTTCAAAATAATAGACAAATATTCAAAACAAAACAAAAAATGATTACATGCTGCCTATTTTGAAACCAAAAAAAAAAAAAAGGATAAACCTTGGAGATCAAAATTATAGATGACATCAGATATCATTTTATACTCTCAAAGGATTCTTTTTTGTCCTACAAAAATTTGAAATTATTCATAATCAGAGCAGAAAAAACACAAGTAATTCACAGTCTCTATTCAAATAACTGAATTATGAGGAAAAGCAAGCAAGCACAAGTCATTTTTCCGTGTGAGAATTACACCAGAAGCCTCACTAATGTCAAGCTCCTCCGGCTTCCTCCCATTCGGGAGCTCCCAATCAAAATGTAATAGAAGCTGAGCAAGCCAGAACTCCACACCAGCCAACCCGAATGCCATTCCTGGGCACATTCTACGCCCTGCACCGAAAGGAATGAACTCAAAATTTGTTCCTTTGAAGTCAATCTCAGTCCTTTCGAACCTCTCAGGTTGAAAGCTCTCGGGATCCTTCCAAAATTTTGGGTCTCTTCCAATGGCCCATGCATTGATAATCACTTGTGTACCTTCAGATATTACATACTCGGATAGCTTCGTTGTCTCACGACAGATTCTGGGCATTAGAAGAGGGGCTGGAGGATGAAGCCTTAAAGTTTCTTTGATGACCTGTTTTAAGTATTGCATTTCACTGATATGACTAGCCTCTAGTTTGGTCCCTCCTTTCAGTGATTTTCTCAGTTCTTGTTGAGCCTTTCGCATGGCCTCTGGATGCCGAATTAGCTCTGTCATTGCCCATTCTATTGAAGTAGCCGTTGTGTCTGTTCCAGCAACAAATAGACCCTTCAAAAACACAAGAGGAAGAGGAGTTTTAGTTCATGACTTGCAATAAATAAGAATACAAATGACTTGACTTTCTGAAATAACGAATTAACAAATAAACAAACCTCAAATTCTGCAAAATCTGCTTCTCAAATTCTGCAAAATCTGCTTCTTAAAATAACTTTTTAGTACAAAATTTGTAGTTTTTTTAACTAAAAAGTTATTTTAAGAAACAGAAAGAAAGCTGTCCCAAACGAAGTAAAAATCACTTACCAAAATTACAGCTTTGATATTATCCATTGTAAAATGGTTCTCTCGCTCAGTTATCCCCTTAAGTTTCAGAAGAACATCAACCAGATCAGTCTCCATGCCATTTCCACCAGCCTTCTTCTCAAGGTGTTCATCAATTATGTCATCCAAAAGAGAGTCCAATTCCCTGTGCACTCTTTTCATTTTCAAGTTCAGACCAGAAAACTTCCAAAGAAAACCCAATGAAGGGAATATATCCATCAAGCTAAAAAGCGAGGCCAACTCTATTCCTTTCCTCATAGCGTTCAAAAACTTCCATTTGTGAACACAATCCTTCCCAAATGCGGCCTTTGTAATTGATGTGTTTGTTAAAGATAGCAACATCTTAGTTAGATTAACTGGTGTTCCTTGGGGCGTCAAAAGGATCTTTTGTACCAAATTGTTACCTTCTTCCTCTCTTAAAGAAGCAAATGACTTCACTCTGTTGGAACTTAAAAGCTCCAACGTACAAATCTTTTTCAGCTCCCTCCAGTAACTTCCATAAGGGGCAAAGCCTATATCACTGGAGTTGTAAAGCAAGGCTTCACTAACGGCTATTTTTGGTCTAGAAGCAAAGTTGAGATCCTGGATTTTCATAACCTCGTAGGCAAGGCCTGGGCTTGAAACAACCACAGAGTTGATCTCACCAAGCTTTATGTGGAGAAGAGGGCCATATATCTTAGCTAGATTGTAAAGCTTGTGGTGGAGATTTACACCTACAAGTTGATGGATGCTTCCAATTATAGGGAGCTTTAGTGGCCCTGGAGGAAACTTTTCTTTACTATGGCTTTGGTTATTCGTTTGATTTCTACGAAATAGGAAGAAGAGAAGGAAGGAAAAGAAGAACGAAATTGGAAGGAAAGTTGAGAGCAGCATGATCTATAGCTGAAAGTTTACAAATTTATTGTTTAAGCCAGCAATATATATAGAGGAAAAGTTTTATAACAGAATGGAATACTCTATATTATAAAAAAAATGATCATGATAAATTCAAATATCTTAAATTTATTTTATGAAGAGTACAATATCAATATTAATAATTTTTTGTTAGAATACATATAAACATACACATATATTAGTTGGATGATATAAAAGAGAATTTTAAGCAAGCTCCACTTCATTTGATTCCAGCAAATAAGGACAAATTCTTTGCCAGCTTTTCCCTGATAATTGAATGGATTACATAAATCTTTGATGATTAAAAGCAATATAATTGTGGATTTTATTTACTTTCTAGGATGGGTGACTACACAATGAGATAAAACTACCAGACTTGATAAAACCAAAGCGAACAATAAGTTAATGATTAAAGAGTTTTAAGATATGTTTGGGATGTTTATATTATTGCTTTTAAAAACAATTTAAAAAGCAGCAAGGAAGCCGTCCCAAACGGGAACTTTTATTTGGTCCGGTCACAGGACGTAGCTCTACGTTTGGCCGCCAGTAGAATCGCGCCACACGTTCTCACTATTTACCGCGCGCCCCAACAACCCGACCCGGAACGGACCCAGGATGGCTCGGTATTTCTCGATTTTGCTAGGTATTGCTCGGTATTACTCGGTATTACTAGGTATTGGTCAATTTTGCTTGGCAATAACCCATACCGAGCAAATACCGCGCAATACCAAGCAAATACCGAGTAATACCGAGTTGTACCGAGTTTTTCTAGAAAAACTCGGTACAACTCGGTATTACTCGGAATTTGCTCGGTATTGGTATTCACATAGCGGTATTTCTCGTTATTGCCATGCAATACCGAGTAATACCTCGCAATATGCGAACATAGCATTCCCAGGTTCCGGTCCGGGTCAAGTCGTCGGGCCGCGCGGTAGAGAGTAAGAGCACGTGGCGACATATTATTTGCGGCCGAACGAAGCTCTACGTCCGGTCAGAGGACGTAATAATTGTTCCCCAAACGGTGCCTTAGTTATTAAACTTTATTAGCAACTGGATGGACTAGTTGGCAGCTTTCTTTGTTGGCAAACAAGCTGTGAACCATAGTGCAGAATTCTTCTCATTTCCTTCTCTGATAAAACCAAAAACGGTCGAAACCATAGTGCAGAATTCTTCTAACTTCCTTCACTGATACAAACAAAAACGGTCAAATGCAATTTTGATTTTATTTTCCTTTTTAATACATATTTTGACATTTCAAATATCTGCAAATTACAGCACCAACTACTTGCAATATATTCCAAAAATTTCAAATAATATTTTTGTGAGAACTTGACAATGTCATCAAATCCCAAAAAAAAGGGATGGGAAAAAGGGATGGGGCCTCCAAAATTTAGAAAAGCCTGTGTCGGAAGCTTCCTATGAGAGATTTTTGTTAAAAAAATCTTATTTTCTCTGGTCTCACGACTACTCCGAAATTTGTAATTTACAAGCATATTTTTATAGAGTATATTAATTTTTCATAATACATATAACAATAAAGTGATTAATTGAATCTAAATATAAAAGTCAACTGAAGTGAGGTTAAAATTGGGCCTCTCCTAAGAAAATTTCTGACTTTTGACATAGTCAATAAATGGTTGGAGGACTGGAAGGAGACCAGTTCTGCAATGACCTATTTACCAAATATTAGTTTGTTTTGGTTTTATGCACCTGTAAAAATAAATAACTTTCGGTGAGATATGAAGACTTATTCCCAATACAACACTATGCTGTCCAAAACTCCAAATGGCCTTCCATCTCAAAGGTCCCATTGAGAATAAATTTGATCTCACCAACCGTGGGCTTAGTCCAAAGAACTATGTAAATTTTCTATTGTTTTAATGATCTCCAACAAAAGATTGAAGAAAAAACCAAAATACTCTCATGCCACAGCAAATGAAACAAAAAACATACTTTTTAGCTCTTATAGCACTTCAAACCGCAGCACGATTAAGACTTCATTTGGGATAGCTTTCTTACTACTTCTTAAAACAATGTTCTAATACAAAGAATTATTTTTTTTATTAGAATACTGTTTTAAGAAGCAGCAAAAAAGCCGTCCCAAATGAAGTCTAAAATCAGCATTGTTGTAACCTTTAAACAAAATATGATTCTTGCAAGCAGTATCAGTATGAATTTTCTTAATAACTTGTTCAGAATCACAGTTCAGAGCATTTTTCAACGATTCATCATATCAAATTCCTTCAACAACAACAACAACAAGCCTTTATCCCACTATGTGGGGGTTCGCTACGTAAATCATTTTTTCTCCATTGTATTCTATTAAGAGTCAAATTCTCATCTAAATATAATAAAGAAAGATCATTTTTTATATTTTCTGACCAAGTCTTTTTAGGTCTACCTCTGCTTTTATTTTTCTTAACACAAATCAAATCTAATCCATCTAATTTCTTAATCGGATGATTGGAAGGCCGCCATTTTATGCTCTTGGAAATCTTACCAAACTCCTTCAACAAAAAAAAAAAATTTTTGAAACCAGTTGCAATGATTGATTAGAAATTTAAAATAAAATAGTCAATGAAACGTTAGCCAACCAAACGTCATACTAAAAGTAAATGTTGTCATTATCAATGCCCGAAAAAATCTGCTTTCAATCTAACCTTACATTATCATCCAAACAAGAAGAAGCAATTCTATGAATATGAGCAGAAATATATAGAATGAGAAGAAGAGAGCGATATTTAGAATAGAGGAAATAAACCTTCCACAAATGAAAGTAACTTAGCTTGCTAATCTTCAATTTTATTGGAAATTTTTTGATAATCTTCTTTCCTTTTAAAAGAAGAACACTCAGAGAAATGATAGAAAGCTTAAGAATGTTAAAACCAAAAGCCTCATTTAACGATATCTTTCTAGGCAAAGATATATATTTAGAAGGCGCAATATTGCATTTACTCTTATTCACAAGCAAACCTGAAACCTCTTCACAATGATTTGCTATGACAGGCCACCAACTCTGGCCATGTATGATACATGCACAAATAGGTGCTTCATGGAGTCAAAAAAATCAGGGGAGAATATCTTTTCAAGTATGCATAAAATGAATGGAATATTTAACTCACTAATATGTAAAGTGTCCTCAGTTAATATGCATGAGCACAAGTCTTTAAAAAAATTACTAAGTTTAGTTAATGGATTTAAAATTGAATCCGGTGGGTAGATAAATGTCATAGGCATAAGACACTCCATGAATATGTGATAGTCATGGCTTTTCATTCCAAATAATTTCTCCGATATCATGCAACAAATCTACCGAGGTTTGAAGCATATCCATTAGGCATTTTAGGCTCTGGACCCATTCACAAACAAATCGTCTATATTCTAAACTGAGGGTGAATAGGGTTTTTGGCTTAAGTAGTCTTCCATTTTCTTCATCCTTCAATTCTAGATGGCTTCTTCTACAACATTCCTAAATGTTCATCCTAGGTTTTAAGTTATCTTTTGGTATGTCATTTATATCCATCACTATGTTGAAGATATTATCAAACACTTTCTTCTCAATATGCATGACATCTAAGTTATGTCTGATCAAGTTTTTTCTCCAATATGAAAACATCCATAATTTTTTTTTTCCCAATTATGGTTCACTCCATAACCCGGGACTCTGTACTCAGCTAATGTTGGTGTGTCAATGATTGTGGGTTTTATTTCCACTCTTTCAAAAACTTGATCATTCGTTAATCTTGATGGAGGTTGTGCCTCCTCAACTGTCTTGGAACTTATTGATGGACCTCATTAGAGTCGAAATATGACTCGTACTCCCCATGTGAAGTCTAAAACTAATATTCTGACATGAATTATCTATGTTATGAATTAATAGTAACCTCATATAGCGTAAGGTACGCTTGATTTTTGTTGAGCAAGGACAATCAAACCTCCCATCAAATAAAAAACAAGGTTGCTGGCAGGCCAACTGGATGAAAAAATTAACTAATTTGATGAATTTATCTGTTAATGTCTTTTATCCAGACAACAATCAATTATACATCTAATTTCTTTGAAATTGAATATTCATATAAAATTTGATCTAAAAAATCTTACACATGAACAATCCTTTAAAAAATAGTAGTATTATATATTTTTAATAAATATTAAGCATATATGATAATATATTAACTAATAACTATCATGGATAAGAGAATGAAGGCAGTGGACTGTGGACCAAAGGGGGTGAGGGCTATGTGGAAATGCCAAAGGAAGGGCTCTCTTTGTCACACCCCATTTTGACCCCTTTTTAAGTCAACCTGCAGTGTAACATATAAGGAGATTATGAACAGACATACCTCTTACTAACACCCATCCTAAATTACTTTTATCAGAATCTGGTGAGTAGTAAATAATCTATTCAGACTATCCTAACACAATTCATTTTTCAATTTCAACAATTGTTCTGCACAATTCATATTTGGAAGTATATTCATAACTCAACAAACAGAGCTTTATTAAACTTTTAACTAAAATTTACATGCTCAAAAGCTTGACTGAACAGCTTCCTACTCTGATTTTTATGCACAACTAAAATGTATGTACACAAAAGTATAGTTAACCTCATGTTTAAAGCCCCACTGGCTCATTCCCCTTTCCTGCAGTACAATAACTACTAATGAGCTAAATCTTAATAAAATACATAATTATAGTACAATGAATAATTAACATATAATTTACACTACATTGTAAAATAATATGTTTATTTCTATAATAATCATAAGATGTACAAGAAATCAATTCAAAATTAACTTTTTCATATTTCCTATTATGTTTAATTTTCAATACTTTAAGCAAATCATATAATGACTATATGCTTTTGCACACTTGCAGATCTCTCATTTAAGGTTGGTTTTGAAATATCAACGTTTAGAAGTGAGAGCGCTTTCATTCAAATTTGGGTCTAAATTCTTAACTTTTAAAAATGAGAAAGT